AGAATTTGAGATAGTTCTGAGAGTGTTTGAACATTTGGTTACTTATCTGAACTGAACATCTGAACCTCTTGAGTTCTACCATCACTGCAAGTTTTCTGAATGGGTTGAGGTGAATTAGCAGCTGTCCAGGTGGACCTCAAACATCTTACTAGAATCTCTAGTTTTGGCCAACAAAAGTCTCCAAAATTTACTTTAGCACCCATCATGGTCCCCTTTCATGTGAATTCTGTGAAGCTTCATCATGAACCAGACCAATTTAATTCAGTTATATACTCCAAAGTGGGATCTAGTCTGGATGCTTCCATTTTATTACCAAGCTGACCCATGTAATTTTCACTTTGCATGACAACTAATCGCTACAATTTTTCAATTTGTATGAACCATTCAGTTTTACAGAATGTTTTCCATTGTGGCAACTGGCTACTGTACAATGAAGTTAATTTCAATTATTAAAACCCTTCTATTATTCTACCCACAAGGGCAATGAGAAATGGTTTCAATATATACAACATACTGATGATTTTATTTAATAGCTGTTCATTATAGCAAAAATATTGTTTGTTCCTTGATACTTAAAACTATTTGTCAACCAGAAAGTTGCAGTTCATGTAGTCTTCAATGTAAAATGTAGGATTTAAAATAGTTTCTCAGCCATTGTAGGCATCTATTTCAGTTAGTTCAATATGTTCATTTAGTTACAAACAATAGTCATGTTACCTGTAATCTAACTTAATTTTGCCTATGGCTTGACTATACACTCTGAGCTACTATTGCGTAGTGTGAGACTACCAGGATAACTTGGTGCCTGTTATTTCTTTAGATATGTTTGGAAAGGTTTAGCCTATCCATCCACCAAGTTCCATCTGTACTTCAGGCTATAGTCAATCACAGAGCTGCTTTTTTTAGCACACACTGATGTACATTCAGCTTGACTTTTAGTGTCAGTGGACTAAACTAGAAAGCAACATTTATCATTAAGGGGTCTATCCATTAAAAGGTATCTGCAACCTTTTGTGTTTTTTGAGGTCATGAACACTTTGGAAGACTGTGGATATTTTTTCTGTCTATTCAGAAGAAAAGTCAGTCTGCAGCATAAGACCAAACACAAGTTTTAATAAACTCAGGTACTTGAGCATTGCAGAGCAGCTCATGGAAGGCGAGGCTGTATAAATGAGCTCTTTGCTTTTCATAGTCCCTTATTCTGGGGCTGGAACTGATCTTTCTCTTTATGATTACTTCAGCCCCAAATATAGAAAGATTTTACCCTCTTGCTAGAAGAGAAGCTCAGTTGCCACTTGTTTTAGGGGGTGGGAAATTGGAGAAAACGTGCATCTCTGGCCTAATTGGTCCTTTCTTTTTTCTTGGGTCACAAACACAGCTATCAGCCAGTGAGACCTCACCTTCTTCAGGATGCATGTTTCCATTAAATAGATCATTCAATTGACTGTCAGTTAACTAGAGAATAACCCATTCCTAAATAAAACTGTTCAGGAACTGAAATTTTCATTTTGAGGGAAATTCCGCCGTTCTAGTATTTTTTCATTCCAAAAAGGAACAAAACCAAAAATCTTCTGCAAAATAAAATCACATTTTGTTGTTTTTTGATCGTTCATTAAGAAGTCATTTTAAAACAACCAATTGACATGTTTCATTCCAAAAATGTCAAGGCAGGATATTTTGACTGTTTTGAAATGCTTCACTTCAAATTTTTCTAAACAAAAAAAAATCATTGAAATTGACTCTTCCCCCAAGAAGCCTTTCACTTTCAATCATTCATCATTGTCCAATGGAAAAACATTCAGTTGGAAAAAAAATTGACTAGCGTTATTCCTAACATTGGGTTACTGGGTGACATGCTCAGCATACTCATTGACATAATTCACTTCCATAGCCATTGTGCATGTTTGTGACTGGGCTACTACTAATGGGAAAGTACCTCCTCAGAACTGGGAGCACCACCTTTTATAACCTAGCTAAGGGGTCTGAGACTCCTCCATTTGTCCAGCATCCATAGAGACCGACTGTACCTAAACTGGAAGAGGGTTAGGTTTCTAACTTGTAATTCTAAAATCTTAAGTGTCCATTTTGCAGCTGACTTCAACACAGCCTTTACATTTTCATTAGGGTTACCATACGTCCGTTTTTTCCCGGACATGTCCGGCTTTTCAGCAATCAAACCCCCGTCCGGGGGGAATTGCCGAAAAGCCAAACATGTCCGGGAAAATGCCGGCCGGGCACTTCCTCTCCCGCGGCGGCTCTGCTACGCTCCTCCCCTCTCTGACTTTCAGAGCCGAGCTGCCCAAGCCAGCGCTACCGGCTTCGGGCAGCCCCCCTGCCTCTGGACCCCGAGCCGCCGGCCCGGCACTTCCCTTCCCGGGCTCCAGCTGAGCTGCTCCGCTCCTCCCCTCTCAGACTTTAAGAGCAGAGCTGCCGGCTTCGGGCAGCCCCCCCTGCCTCCGGACCCCGAGCCGCCGTCCTGGCACTTCCCTTCCCGGGCTCCAGCTGAGCTGCTCCGCTCCTCCCCTCTCAGACTTTAAGAGCAGAGC